TGTTTTGCAGCCCTATGAGAGTGGTGGAGGTTTCTGTCCTTCATGGCTTCCTGGAGAGCCTGCAGGGCACGGCTGATCGTCTACCCGGGCTCTCCGGGGGGGGGGGGGGGGGGTTGGAGAACCGGCATAAATATTGGCTGTTCTGCTTGTCAGAGCCGTCTTGCCAGGACGAGCCATCTTCTGGGTCCTTTGAATACAGATGAACCAGGCAGGGGGGTAGGAGTCAGCCTGTTTGGCTGTACTGCACCCATTCACCTCTAGGGGGGCACACTTACAGATACACTTACATAAGGATGACCGACCCTAAGAAGTGATGGGGATTTTTAACCTCCAGTAACTAGCCCAGCATCCCCCCCCACCACAACCTCACCACCCCCCACCCCCCATTACCACCCAGCGCTGCTCTTTTCACATGTAAATGCACGTTTTTGTTGAAGAACTAGGCACAGTGTTGGGGGAAGCACAGGCTAAGCTGTGAAGGTGTCCGGGGATGGGAGAGGAGGAGGGTCTGTCAGTTGCCATCTACGGAAACGCCCCTGATGGCCTATCGCTCGTTTAATCTCGTTAGCTCCCCCCGGCGCACAGCTGTTTCTCACGCTGCCATTTTTTACGGCTTAGTCCTAATTTGCATGTGTAAATTACGGCCGCAGAGGCGGAGCTCAAATCGCACCAGGGCTCATTGTCCCCAGCGTCATGCCACTTATGGGATTTACATTTTGTTTTTTTGTGCCCTTAATATAAACACAGCTTCCTCTTCGCTAGGTAATGGCAGCTTTATCAACTTTTATGCCCTAAAGTCCGCGTTTCGCTTCGTGAGGTTGGTGTTCTGGTTCACAGCCCTCCAGCCCCTCGCCTGATGACATCACTGGGCTGTACAGTGGCCGGCAGTCCGGAATGGTGCCTTCCTCTCTGGTCTTCCAGCCCAGCTCGCTGCCAAGAAATTTTAAAGAAAGAAAAATAAAACTTCATAGCATATGGGAGCCATTATAGAGTTATTTTAAAACAAACACAGGGAGCTTACAGCGTGTGGGGCTATCAGAGCGTGTTCTGCTGCATTACTGCTAGTGTGGATCTTTCCCAGTGTCTCTGGGAAACTAGAAGTACTCATTTTACACCCCTGTCCTTCCCAAGGACGCTGACTATTCTCATGCTTGAAATACTCTCTTCCCCATTCAGGTATTCCCCAACGGGCCACCCAGCCTCCGTCCACCTCTACTTTTTGTCCGACCAATTCCAGGGCTACCTGGTGAGGCATCGTGCCACCAACCTGGCCACTGGGAAGCTGGAGACACTAGAGACCTGGGTCATGCCCAGAAAGGTCTTCAAGATGGCCAGCAAACCCAATGGTGGCGTGAGCAGGCTGCAGTTTGCTGAGGTGAGTGCATGAGAGGCCATGAGGTTTACAGCCTCAGGGCAAGCTCAGTATAGCTTCAGCATAGCCTCAGTGCAGTCTCAGGGCAAGCTCAGTATAGCCTCGGGGCAGGCTCAGTATAGCCTCAGTGCAGTCTCAGGGCAAGCTCAGTACAGCCTCGGGGCAGGCTCAGTATAGCCTCAGTGCAGTCTCAGGGCAAGCTCAGTATAGCCTCGGGGCAGGCTCAGTATAGCCTCAGTGCAGTCTCCAGGCAAGCTCAGTATAGCCTCGGGGCAGGCTCAGTATAGCCTCGGGGCAGGCTCAGTATAGCCTCAGTGCAGTCTCAGGGCAAGCTCAGTATAGCCTCGGCGCAGGCTCAGTATAGCCTCAGTGCAGTCTCCAGGCAAGCTCAGTATAGCCACTGGGCTATAGTTCAATATAGTCTCAGTATAACCTCAGGGCAGCCTCACTATAGCCTCAGGACAGGCTCAGTGTAGCCTCTGAGCAGGTTCAGTAAAACACCTAAATTGGTCTGAAATTATTGTTGTTCTAACAAATAAAATTTCATAGTTAGAGGGCCGTAGTGAAGTGACCTTTGTGTGAGACCGTTTGCTCTGAAGCTGCGTGCAGATTGAATTAATTCCCCGCAATGGAAGGCTGCTCTGTTTGTTCAGTCTGTGTGCTTGTAATGTGTTTCACCTTCCCTGACCTTACAGCGAGCGGCAGCTGTATCACGAGCAGGACCCTCAGCGTGCCGTTTGCCTCGCTCGCATCTCCAAAGCGCCGCTTTAGCATGAGGGAAAGGCAGCCTTAAATCGCGATAATTAAGCCAGGAGAGAGTCGAGATGCCGTCGTCTTTCACGCTTGAGTCAGCCTCCCTGGCGAGCGGAATGATCTGGAATGTCGGTGTGAGGTGTGTTGGATAAGTTGATCCTGCGCCTCGCCTTTAGGAGCACGTCACTCACACGTGGGAGTGGGGGCTGCCTTCCTGCACCCATTAACCCATCTCTCGGTGCCTCGGTCTGTTTACCCAGCCCTGGCCAGACTCTGGCTGGGGGGGGACCAAATGAGGCGACACATCACACCGGGGTAGCCAGGAGTCACCCACCCTCAGACGTGCTGCTCATGGCTTTGTCTGAGGTGCGAGAGTGAGGGGAGGCATTTAGCGACGAAAGTCATACTGTGAGTTTTAGTTGGGAGCATTACTGCCCCTAGTGGCCAAATGGAGGAACGCATTGGACATCCCAAGAAAGGAACTCAAGCCTGGGAACCCCATCTGTCTCTTAGGAAATTACCCACCATTAAAGAGCCCCAAGCAGGACCCCAAGTTTCTGCCTCACAGCCGTGAAACACCCCTGATAGACTCCAGCTGTGACTCATTCTGCTTCATAATCGGGTTACTGGTCGGTAACTGGTTGGATTTTAAGAGGATGCTTTGTAGTGTAAGTCCCAGGCTGATTGAGTGGGCCCACAGAGGGGGTCGACGCCACCCCCAGCCCAGAGCTGAGTCACAGCCGTGACAGGCCGCCCTCTGTCTGACTCTCCTCTAATTTCTTGATTATTATATGTGAACAAAAGGTTTAGTGTGGATGAGTGCAGCAGGCAGAGGTGAATTTTCTGGGCTTATAAACATGATCCTCTGATTGTCTGCTTATTCCTGGCAAATGCCTCCGAAATGTGCTGACTGCAGAGTATAATTATGGCGAAGACGTGCACGTTCATGTCCTTTATAGTGGCTGCGTGCGGTTAAATCGGTGCTAAAGCTGGCAGATGAAGGCAGGCCCGTTCTGGTCTGACGTCCACCATGCTGTTGCCCATGGGCCTCTGTCTGTCCCTGTGGTCCCACTCTGCTTTCAGTCCTTCCTCTCATATCAGTCACCGGTCTGATTTTAAAGCACGTCCTTCTTGTGCCGGTCTGGCTCTCTGCCAGACAGGACCGCCATCATGCAGACCGCGGCCTCATAACCTTTTGCTTGAGCACGTGGGACGCTGTCTCTCCTTGAACCTCAGAGCGGGGTCCGGCAGACCCCCTGACCCGTGCAGGAAGCCACACACCTGCCTGACACGCCTTGGTCCTCCGAACCGAGACGCGCTTCTTATCATCGTCGTCGTTCGTCTCTTTACAGCCGCGTGGAGTCTGGAGTGGCCGCGTTACGCCCTGTTAAATACGCGCCCTGCCTTTACACACCTCTGTAGGCGTGTGAACTTGCGGACATCGTCACTGTACGCTGCAACATGGGTTCCAGCCATCAGTCTGGCCTGTGTGGTGGATTTCAGAGATGGGTGCGCGTGTGCAGGACGTGTAAAGATCTACGTTAGGGGTTCCGTGAAACACTGACAGTTTGGGGGAGGGGTTGGGCAATAAAAAAAAAAAACACTGTATTTTCAAGCCATGCCTTTTTTTATGATCACATCTGGGCAAAAAAAAAAAGCTCCAGTGCACCAGTTGCTCCCCCCCCCCCCCGAATGGTTTTAATGAATGTGATTACTTGTCATTGTTGACACACCACAGCACACAATGAAATAAAGGTGTCCCATATGCGGCATAGCAGGGGGCAGCTAATTCAGCACCCAGGGTGTAGTGTGTAGGGGCGGTACCTTGCTCAGGGTACTTCAGTGGTAGGGGATTCAAACCAGCAACCTTTCGATTTGGAAGTGCACTTCCCTAACCGTCAGGCCAGCCCTGCAGTTTAATCGCATCACCTGATATTCCTCTCCATCAAACGACTGGTAGACATTAGAGCCTAATTCAATCTCTCTCTGTCTCTATCAGTGGAAGCATCTGGCTAATTTGGCGTTTTGTTTAACGTTGCTAATAATGGCTAATAACACTGTTGATTGTCTTTAATTGTCGGTTGGGTGTTTTTAATTGGGTAATGGCCTTATGCCTCAAAGAATATTTAATTCATTATCTGGGGGTGGTGTTTTATCCCTATCTGATGTACGTTAATTTTGAAAAGCTTGTGTTTTTTTTGTATTATTTGCTTAATTTTAGCCCTGGTGGGCTCACTTCTTCCCCCGCAGATCGGAACAGACTGGGACGCCAAGGAGAGGATGTTCCGCAACTTTGGGGGCCTGATGGGGCCCTTGGATGAGCCCATCGGGATGCAGAAGTGGGGCAAAGGGCCGAATGTGACGGTGACGGTGGTCTGGATCGACCCCACCAACGTCATCGCCGCCACCTACGACATCCTGGTGGACGCCGGTGCCGAGTTCACGCACTACAGGCCCCCGCTGAACCTGCCGCTGCGGCCCGGCGTCTGGACCGTGCGCGTGCTGCACCACTGGAACCCCGTGGCTGAGACGCGTTTCCTGATCACGCCGCTGACCTACAGCCGACAACAGCCTATCCAGCAAGGTGAGCCCATCCGCAAAATGGCGGGCTGGAGTTTTGTATGGGAAAGTAGGCATTTAAATAAAAACATTCAGAGCTTGGTTAGTTACGTACTAACTCCCTTTTTCGCAAGAGAAAGACACTCATCCTGACAGAAGGATGCCCACAGCACCGAGTCTGCCTGCTGATTGTCTCTGATTCATCACCTTGCTCATTTCCTGCATCCCGACGCTTTAGCTGTGATGGTGCTTTCGGACCAGCGTGTGCCTGCATGCTGCCTGAGCCTTTCCCCGCGGCCTGTCCGCAGTGTACTCTGTCACGACCGCACTGTAGACGCTGCACTGCACCGCCTCGCACCTGTATGTAGTCAGCAGCCATCACTGAATGTGCTGCGAACCCGAGGCCCAGAGTCTAGGGGCTTCCGCAAACTGCCCCCCCCCCCATGCATTTAGCTGAGCAGCCCCTGACTCGGAGTGACGGGGGAGTGCGAGACGGTTGAGGCTGGCTGCCACACAATGGGGGCTCTGAGGAGGTCGATTGGAGGGGAGGTGTGAGGCTGCCTGCGGAATTTACATCTTTACCTCCATGACGGGCGGCAGCCCTCTGATCCCTCCGTCCCCGTTTATGTAGCCTGGTTGCCGAGATGCAAGCTCATGGCCCACGGCTGTATGCAGAACTGCATTGCCGTGCTTGACTCTGCTCTGGCTATACGCCGCAAAAACAGGCCTGCGGATGAGCTCACAGAGAGGCCTGCAGATGAGCTCACAGAGAGGCCTGCAGATGAGCTCACAGAGAGGCCTGCAGATGAGCTCACAGAGAGGCCTGCAGACGATCCTGCAGACAGGCCTGTAGACGAACTTGTTGATAAGCCTGCAGAAGGGTGTGTTTTACTACACATCTGCATAACAAAACGGATTTAAAGCCAAAGAATAGCACCCATCCCTCTTCAGCCTTTTTATACTCCTCCAAATGTAGCGCTCTATCGCTCCTCTCTCTCCCTCCCCCAGGCGACACCCTGAAGCTCCACAACGGCCCCACCAAGAACAGCTACATGGAGCAGAGCTTTCATGGCCTGAACCCCGTGCTGAACATCCCCGTGCACCTGGGCCAGGTGGAGGCGGCCAAGAGGAACGCCGCACTGACGGGGCCCGAGCTGGAGCGCTGGGTGGACGGCCTGGTGGGGGTGCTGTGGGCCGCGGCAGACGTCTGTACCGTTGGGTCCAGTGCCTGTCCCGTCACACAGGCGTGCCGGAAGACGGCCTGGAGTTCCCTTAGTCCAGACCCCAAATCCCAACTGGGACCGCCTCGGGCTGACGGCCGCATCAGGTAGCGCCCCCATCTGGCCGAACAGATCCATAGCGCTCCTTAATTAAACTTTTCCCTAGTAAATGTAAGTGCGTTACTCCTAATCCCACAAATGGGATTCAGAGGTGTGTTAGGAATAGGCTCCTATGATTTCAGCGGAGGTCTGCGGGTTTTCGGTCTGGAAGATTCTCTTTTATTTAACTGAATGGTTTTACTGTGATTCTTTGTTTGACGTATCAAATTGGGACAGACAGAGCTTGACAGAATGTCTCCAAATTTTACTACTGAGTTATACGGTTAATCGGAGCACACCGCTGAGTACGCAGACCTCCAGTGGGTCCTCAGAGCAGCGACGCTGCCTCGTTTACCCGGCCCGGACCCCTGAACCGGACCCTACAGTGCGTGATTGGGTCTGGCCCAGACCTTTTTTAAATATTATTATTTTATTTTTAATTGAAGCTGCACCAGTAAAAGCCAGACACGCTGTGGTGTCTCCAAGGTGGGGGGAGGGGGGGTTTGTATTTATTATTTTTATATTACGTTATACGTTTCACTGTCAGACTCTGTCCAAAACTTGAAGTACCGACTTGCTGGCTCTTAAGGGTCTTAAATTTACTTTCTGTTTCTACATAATCTTTCTGTTGCAATGAGAAAAATAAGAAGGACACCATGTAGGAAGAGTCGGTTAAAAGTTAGCTATTTATTGATAAGTTTATATATATAAATAGACATATTTTAGTCAGTGACTAATGACTGCGTGCTGCGTTGGCAGCTTGGAGAGTTTTTTTTGTAAACGAGCCTTTATTTACAAAGGCCTTGGCTCAAGCCTGCCCCTGCAGGCTGACGCCTTTGTCTCGACAGTCCAGTCTACGTAGACGTCCTCGTCCTGATTCGCATAGATGTCCTCGTCCCGATTCGCATGGGCGTCCTCCATTCAGTCACTGACTGGCCGCTTTACAAGCACGTCACGTGTGATCTTTGTGTTCAGGGGGGGCAGGCGGGGCGGGGGGGGGGGGCGATGGTGACTTTAGCCAAGCCACCCTTGCTCAGTTAGAAATTTAAATAAAGGAAGGGAGGGAGGGAGGAAGGAGAAATGAAGTTTAATGCTGTTTGGTGTAGAGTAACAGTGGGAGAGCTGATGCTGGTTCCCAGATGCGACGTTAACGCTGTGGTGGCATTACCTAAAGATCACGCTTCCTGCTTCAGCTCAAACGAGCCGGGAAAGACAGGTCAGCCGGGTCGGCTCTGGTGCCGCTGACCTTCCCCGTGTGTGTGTGGCCCTTAGCACCGTGACCAGAAGGACAAGATGAGTCATCGTGACCCAGTGTCACCTTTAAAAGCAGGAAACGCCTGCTTACAAACCGTGTTATCAGTGACGTCTGCCAGCGTCGGTTTAGCTTGAACAGAGAAGCTCTGGGGTCAGCGCCCTGTCATTTTCAATCTGTACACACTTATCGCTGCCCAGCGCCTGTTCTTCATTCATTAGCTATTTTTATTTTTTTATAATAGTATATTTATTATGTAGGCACCTCACACACTGCGTGTAGCATCCGGCCGATGCTCATACTGGCTATGGGAGTCCCCTCCTTCATTTAGGGTTTTGGAGGCATAGTGCTGATGTTTCTGCATTAATCGGAGCAGCCAAACAAAGCGGCCTCTTACCGTCCTTGGCATTTGCGAAAGGTCAGCTGGCGAGTATAATTGATGACCCCCAGTGCTGTGCAGAGCACGTTATCATAGCTGCCCGTCAGTGGCGAGAAAAGCTTCATTGTCCCCAGAGCAGGAAAGGAAAAGAATAAAAGCAAAGTTTCCAGCATCTGTGGCCAGTAATCAAGGAATCTCATTGCATCGTAACCTCATTGTCATCTGATGGATGTTGTCAATTCTCTGGATGATTATTTTAAAGAATTACACCTGTTACTGTTAAACTATTTTGTCATAAATGATATTCATGAAGAAAATGTACATAATTATTTTCTAAAGGGAAAACTATTGTAAATAACATATGCATAAAGAAAAGATTTAAGAGTCGTGGTACTTGGCTAAAGAAATGTTTTCCTTTTAACAGCTCTGTGAGGAATATGGCAAGTTTGGCTTTTTTCCTTTTCTTTTATAATTATTCTTTCTGAGAGTCTCATGCCAAATCGTGCTCTTTGCTGGAATGTTGCTTTGAGCCACCGTTGCACAAACTGGTTTGACTCCGATGTTCCCTCTGTCGCCGGCAGAACCTGTGCCTTAGCCTTTCTGTTTAGGGGAACCCTGACTTTCTCTTTCATGTAAATAAATTTGCTTAGTTTTACAGAAAGAGGGAAATGACCATATTAAATATAAGGAAAATTGTAACATACCAAAAAGTATGTATGCTGTTGTAAATATGGCTTCTGTTTTTCTTTTTGTCTCCTTCTGTTGAATTTTAAAAGTAAAAAAAAATATCCAATAATGTCAGCTAATTCTGTGTCTCATTCTTTGATACCGGCTTCTGCGATCCAGTGTAAAACGTGACTCAAAAGCTTGGCGGTATAACAGGAAATGCAGCCTGACCCTCTTTCGAGGTAGAACTCCCCAGGACATTTCATGAAGCTTTCCTTCTTGTCAACAAATCCTGTTTTTTTTTTCAGGGGGGAAAAGAAAATGTCCCCCTCACGTTATCTGATGATTGATGGCGGGCTGTGGCAGCCCATCAGTCATCTCGCTCTGGGCTTCTGACTGCAGTGTCTCTCGTAATAGTGCGCAAGCGAGCTTAGCCCGATCACCCCCCCTGCCCCCCCCCCCCCCAAAAAAAAAAAATAGAAAAAAATACCCCTTCCCTACCTGCTGTATTATTTTTATTTTTTGCCCTTCGTCTGCCTGGGTGCAAGATGGTAGGAAATTAAGACGAGGTCCAGGGTATGAAGATAAATGCTGTGGGTAATGCGGCAAAGATAAACACGGCCTTTGAGAGAACGTCAGGAGATCGAAGCAGAGACAGACACGTGGCTTCCTCCTCACGGCTACGTGGGCCGGACGCTGGTGCCGCTGAAAACTCTGAGGATCCCTCAGATGTGAGATCAGAGAGGATCGGCCTGTCATTAGACCTCTGCATTCCCGCTAGTTAGGAACAAGGCTCCCCTATCACCTGCATCTGCCCGTTGAGAAAGAGTCTTTATATTGCGGTATAATGATGGCCTGTTACAGCCGCGGTGGACAGATCCCCCTGGGGAGAGAGGTGCCACACTGGAGGACTTTATTACGAGGATGCTTGCAAGTCGACACAGTGATAGTAATCACAGCATCCTCGCAGAAGAGTAGAGTGACTCGCTTCTTAAAGGCCATAGGCACGACCGCTGCAGATGGTGTTTTAGTGGTAATGTTTGTTGATGAAATATGTAACAGAATAAGGTTTATTTACATTATGAATGCAAGCCCTGTAGAAAAAACCCAGGTGTTGCAGCAACTGTATTCTAGGACATCTGCCATAGCACGTTTAGGCTTCTGACGTTCGTCTAGCTTAAAGAATGTCAGTGTAGTCATTAGAGAATAATGGAAATGGAAAACAAAATACTGTGCAAAAGAATGGTCCTATCTGGCAATTACCCCCTGAGCAATGCAGTGTTTTTATATTCAGCGCTGTATACAGTCCCTGGGGTATTTATTATTGGAAAAATGTTAATCACTGAAGTTTGGATTGGCTGTTATTGCATGCTTTGACTGACAATTATCTGCTTTAATATGGTGAGAGTGGCTCAATCGATGTGCTGAAGGTTCATTTATTGCTGGGCTCCTCGATACACTTCTGAACGGGAAAGCTCAGGTCAGGCTGACAGGTCATCTCCAAGGACGGCTGGATGGCACCCAGAAGGCACGACAGCGAGCGGCAAAGCGTCAATAGAATGTTGCTGGCGGTGAAGGCAGCGCTGGGCTATTTCACACTGAGATCACTTCTCAGTATTTACCGTTTATTTTGTGAGCCTGAGTTTGCGAACAGCAGTTATTCAGTTTTATTTCATTTTTTATTTTTTTTTTGTCATGTTTCACTTCATTTCAGTTTTAGTCAGTATAGCAGAATCCTCTGCGGGGAATTTGCAGGGAGTACTTCACAGTGCGAGGTGTTCGAACCAGAACGCAATAACAAGTAAACAGAAATTTTGACTTGTATGGAAAAATAATGAAAAAAATCCTGAATGTGTGGAGGAGAGGAGAATGAGAAATATCTGAGTGTGGGGAGGATGTAGCTGCTGGCTGCTGAAGGCTGCTCTGTCTCGCATGCTGACGTGAACCTGAAGGAGCTGGACAGGCAGATGGAGTACAGATATGCTGTGAGTTAGCCGTCTGGCAGAAGGAGCGCTAAGGCCTCACTGGTGGGCCGTTTCCATGTCCGGGTCACCTCCACAAGCCAACTGACCAAGCCCTTCTGCTGGAGTAAGGTGCACTTACTGGTAAGGTGCCTTCCGGAAGACCGACGAGTCATAACGTGGAAGACGGGTGACCCCATTATAGACAAAGAGTGTGAAAAGTAAGTATTGTCCTTTTTAGAGGAAATACTGGATGTCTGATTTTGTGGGGTGTCTTGTCATTGTTGCCAGACAGGATTTGAAATGCATGCACGTTTGAACCCCAAGCACAGGGAACATTGGGTGCCACGGTGGCTCAGTGAGTCACACAATACCTCACACCTACAGGGCTGCTGTGGGTTCCATTCTGCACTTTGGCTAATTGGCATTTCCAAGCATGGCCCGTGGTATGTATGCACCCCCTGATGGCCTGACATTGTGCCCAGGATGTGGCCTGCCCTCTGATGGCCTGACATTGTGGCCTGACATTGTGCCCAGGGTGTGGCCTGCCCTCTGATGGCCTGACATTGTGGCCTGACATTGTGCCCAGGGTGTGGCCTGCCCTCTGATGGCCTGACGTGCCCAGGGTGTGGCCTGCCCTTGGCTGTCTCCAGGACTCTTGCATGACCCTGCTCAGGATAGGTAGATAGAAGATGGATGGACAAGGGACATTTCTGTAAACCCATTAACATGCATTTGCCCCCTCTGACAAGGTGTTAGTTATCAAAGACCCAGATGGTCTTTTGCACTATCCAGCCATGATGATTCCACATCACTGTAAATGAATGTGGAAATGTGAGTGGCTGTGCACGAGCGGGGCCTAACTGCTGCGGCTGCAGTTTAGCACGCGCGCTCCGGCACGCTTCCTGCTTCTTCATTTCCTAAACATAAGAGGGCATTGCTAAAGTTTAAAATTATTCTGCTGATGTGTTATTTATTCTGCTGCATGACTTCTTCATACCAAGAATACCCATAATCCCACGCAGGCTTGCAGTTTCAGTCCATCATGACATCGCCAGTCTCTGGCACAATGTGGCCATGACTCACTTCAGCAGCAGGGGGCAGAATTGAGAAGTTCAACACCTGCTAGTAACTTTCTCTATACTCCACTGTTTTTTTTTTTTGGGGGGGGGGGCTAATGTCATACATTTCTTGGCCTTGTGTTTTATGCATCTTTCCTCTTTTTGTATATTTTGTTTCATTGTGCCTTTTCTGTACTAGATTGTCTTTTTTGATACAGAATTTATTCAAGCATAAGATGCTGCATCTCTAGGGGTTGCTGTAGTAAATAGCATATCTGTCGTGTAAGCTGTCTTTAAAGGGTGACAATTAACTGTAGTTAATACCTCCCACTACCCTTCTTCTGCCCTCCAGCGTCCGTTTCATCACGGATCATCATCACCAGCATCCTCGCAGCTGTCTATTTACCCCTCTTCTACTCTCCAGTCATTACCATCTCGTCTGTAAAAACATTTCTTGCTTGCCCTCAAGCTAAAGCATTTATTAGGTCTCTCTAACACAGGCAGTTTAACCCAAAGCTCCTGTTTTGCCACGGGCAGATTATAGGTTAGAAGTCTTAGCTCTTCCAAAGCCTTACGTGCCCAGAGTAGAGAATGGGGGGGGGGGGGTGATGTGGCCATCAGGATAGAGCAAGTGAGTAAGGGGCCATCTTTTGCTG